ATCGAATCTTAGAATATACTGGGGAGTATTCTATACCCCCCCCCCCCCCCCCGTGCTACGTTCTCCCACAAAAGCTTCAAGTCTTTCGTGATTTGCCTTATGAGTGACAACCAGAGACTTGTTATAACAAGTTATATTATAAGTTATAGCAAGTCTCTGAGTGACAACACTAATAATTCTTTGCAGAATCAATATTAATATATACAATGGTAGAATGCTCTGTAATTATTCTCTCTTTATGACTATTTTTTTGAATCCTCTAAAAGACAGGTACTTGTAACACATAAAGGTCTCATTACATTAACAAGTGCAATTGAAAAAACACGTCTGAATCGTTTTGGTGGAGTAATCGAAATTGACTATTATACGTTGATGACGTCGAGTGAGATTTGAAAAATTTGATTATAAAGTACTTGTGAAATAAACCATTGTGATAGCTTTAAGCACTTAATTTGGGGCGAAATTGATGAAGATGGCCACAGAAAGAAATGGTCGGCACTAATACGTAAAGGCGCTGTATGTCGGGGCGGAAACGGGCGGAAGCATGATGATAGTTTTCTTTTCGAAACCGGAGAATAGAGGCCAAATATTTGACTGCGCATCCTGTATGTATAGTTTATAGTAATTAGAACTGTCCTTTTGTTCGATGTTCGAATCGTAAGGGATTAATTCGATTTTGGAGGTAAACGTCGTCCTCCAGCGGCCAGCCAGCCGGTCGAGTTGAGAATGAAATCGGAATAATAAACAATTTGTGTCGGGAGATTAATTAAAAACCTCGACGACGCTGATATTAATTTGTTTTACGTGGCGCTGCATCGATAGTCCTTGACACGTAATGGGCTAATAAATTGATCACGAATGGCAATAGTTAGGTTATTAAGTATATATACGCTATTAATCGTGGCGTTTAAAAAATGCTATGGAGATGATTTCGAGAGCGGATGGCCGCACGGATTTGTACTAAATTTGCAGCAGTGTCCCTAGCAAACATCATAAAAATGTAATCTATACAAGCTACAAGCCCTCACGTTGACATTCATTAGTGACAGCTTGATTTACCTGTTTACTTGCTTGTTCTTCATATTAAATTACATTGTATCCTTGTACGCGATGTCACTTATAATCGAAATATCGCATTTAGCCATACTAGTCAAAAAGAAGGTAGACAACGTATGAATTCAACTTTCAACTTCTCACGCACTTGTTACTCTCCTAAAAATTTCAATTTTGGAATGCATATTTTCAAAAATGAATTTAGCAACAGGGAAATGCAGTAACTCGAAATGTGTAAAAAAAAGGTGATGCGTACATGGGAGTAACAAAGAATCCATTTTTTGCACGTCTCCCCCCATATGGTATGGAATAGGTACTCCCCAGGAAAAAAAATCGTCATGTACCTGTATACATACTCCCCGGTACGTTCACCTTCAAAACGTTCCCCACTAAACACCCTTCTAAAAAATTATGGTGTAAGTACTAACGGCACCTCGAACGGCACTAAACATTTTCGGAAAGAATGTAGAACCGGGGCGTCTTTGGGGTAGAGAATAACGCCAAAAAGTTCATCTTCATTTTCCTTTGAACACTGGGGGGGGGGGGTATTCCATACCCCCCAGACTCCCCGGGTGAAACCTTTACCTTCAAAACGTTCAACCCTAAACACCCTTCTAAAAAATTATGGTGTAAGTGCTATTGACACTGTACGTTTTCGGGAATAATGCCGAACCGGCGGGTCTTTGGGGCAAGGAAGAACCCCAGAAGAAAAGAAAAAGTTCATCTTCATTTACCTTTGAACACTGGGGGGTATTCCAAACCCCCCAGACCACCCGGTGAAACCTTTACCTTCAAAACGTTCAACCCTAAACACCCTTCTAAAAAATTACGGTGTAAGTGCTATGAACACTGTACGTTTTCGGGAATAATGCCGAACCGGTGGGTCTTTGGGGCAAGGAAGAACCCCAGAAGAAAAGAAAGAGTTCATCTTCATTTACCTTTGAACACTGGGGGGTATTCCATACCCCCCAGACCCCCCGGTGAAACCTTTACCTTCAAAACGTTCAACCCTAAACACCCTTCTAAAAAATTATGGTGTAAGTGCTATTGACACTGTACGTTTTCGGGAATAATGCCGAACCGGCGGGTCTTTGGGGCAAGGAAGAACCCCAGAAGAAAAGAAAAAGTTCATCTTCATTTACCTTTGAACACTGGGGGGTATTCCAAACCCCCCAGACCACCCGGTGAAACCTTTACCTTCAAAACGTTCAACCCTAAACACCCTTCTAAAAAATTATGGTGTAAGTGCTATGAACACTGTACGTTTTCGGGAATAATGCCGAACCGGCGGGTCTTTGGGGTAAGGAATAACCCCAGAAAAAAGAAAGAGTTCATCTTCATTTACCTTTGAACACTGGGGGGTATTCCATACCCCCCAGACCCCCGGTGAAACCTTTACCTTCAAAACGTTCAACCCTAAACACCCTTCTAAAAAATTATGGTGTAAGTGCTATTGACACTGTACGTTTTCGGGAATAATGCCGAACCGGTGGGTCTTTGGGGTAAGGAATAACCCCAGAAGAAAAGAAAGAGTTCATCTTCATTTACCTTTGAACACTGGGGGGTATTCCATACCCCCCAGACCCCCCGGTGAAACATTTACCTTCAAAACGTTCAACCCTAAACACCCTTCTAAAAAATTACGGTGTAAGTGCTATGAACACTGTACGTTTTCGGGAATAATGCCGAACCGGTGGGTCTTTGGGGCAAGGAAGAACCCCAGAAGAAAAGAAAGAGTTCATCTTCATTTACCTTTGAACACTGGGGGGTATTCCATACCCCCCAGACCCCCCGGTGAAACCTTTACCTTCAAAACGTTCAACCCTAAACACGCTTCTAAAAAATTATGGTGTAAGTGCTATTGACACTGTACGTTTTCGGGAATAATGCAGAACCGAGAGGTCTTTGGGGTAAGGAATAACCCCAGAAAAAAGAAAGAGTTCATCTTCATTTACCTTTGATCACTGGGGGGTATTCCATACCCCCCAGACCCCCCGGTGAAACCTTTACCTTCAAAACGTTCAACCCTAAACACCCTTCTAAAAAATTTACGGTGTAAGTGCTATGAACACTACATTTTCGGGAATAATGCAGAACCGAGAGGTCTTTGGGGTAAGGAATAACCCCAGAAAAAAGAAAGAGTTCATCTTCATTTACCTTTGATCACTGGGGGGTATTCCATACCCCCCGGACCACCCGGTGAAACCTTTACCTTCAAAACGTTCAACCCTAAACACCCTTCTAAAAAATTATGGTGTAAGTGCTATTGACACTGTACGTTTTCGGGAATAATGCCGAAACGGTGGGTCTTTGGGGTAAGGAATAACCCCAGAAGAAAAGAAAAAGTTCATCTTCATTTACCTTTGAACACTGGGGGGTATTCCAAACCCCCCAGACCACCCGGTGAAACCTTTACCTTCAAAACGTTCAACCCTAAACACCCTTCTAAAAAATTATGGTGTAAGTGCTATGAACACTACATTTTCGGGAATAATGCAGAACCGAGAGGTCTTTGGGGTAAGGAATAACCCCAGAAAAAAGAAAGAGTTCATCTTCATTTTCCTTTGAACACTGGGGGGTATTCCATACCCCCCAGACCCCCCGGTGAAACCTTTACCTTCAAAACGTTCAACCCTAAACACTCCTCTAAAAAATTATGGTGTGCTATTGACACTGTACATTTTTGGGAGGAATGCAGAACCGGGGGTATTGGGGTAAGGAATCACTGGGGGGTATTCCATACCCATTCCATACCCCACAGACCCTCCGGTGAAACATTTACCTTCAAATCGTTCAACCCTAAACACCCTTCTAAAACATTATGGTCTAAGTGCTATGGACACTATACATTTTTGGGAAGAATGCTGAACCCGGGGGGTCTTTGGGGTAAGGAATAACCCCAGAAAAAAGAAAGTGTCCATCTTCATTTACCTTTGAAAACTGGGGAGCTTTCTATACCCCCCAGACCCCCCGGTGAAACCTTTACTTTCAAAACGATTAACGTAGATGCGGGGCAAAATAGAGTGGGTTTTGGTGTTCCTCGCGTTTCTATGATCTTGATACAAGTATTCTATGCATCAGGAGAACACGATAGTGAGAAGATGCTTTTTTGATAACTTTTCGGGTTTTATTAAGAACATGATACGTAAACAGTTTGTAAACTATCTGTTTGCGTTTTTGTGATCCTGATACAATAGTAAACATTTGGAGTAGTTGAAAAATGTTCTTTTGCCATTAAATATTTCAACTCATTTCAGTTATCCTGACAACTTTTGAATCGAAAATCGTAGATTACAGGGCGCTCTGTGTATTTGGAACATAAACATCTCCTCTCCATTCTCTTCATATAAAAAGTAATATAGTTCTAAAACATTTATCTATGATAGCCAGAAAAAATCTGCAACATTACTCCATTAGAAACTGCACGAATTAGGACCAGAAGTTCTTATATGGAAACTTCAACTAATGTGTTAGAGTATTTCTCCAATGTGTTATGTTCTCCTGGCACCAACATAAAATGCAAAAGTTTTTTTCTAATAGATTTGCCTTGTATTAGGAGCAGAAACACCTCCCCATTATATTCTTTCATACGGAAGTTTAAGCTAACATCAGATGTTCTAACATTTATTTTGAAAATAAAGTTCTGGTACACTTCTGTTGAGATCTCTTTATAGATTATGCGTTCCTGGTAGCAATTCTTCGAAACACTCCTTGTCACTTGATATTACCTTGGTACACAGGCTGTAAGAATAGGAACGTTTCTCTTGAGTGCAGAAAATAGCCTCCTCAGCCAAATACAACAATCTTTGCATGTTTACGCCCTTGGGGTTGAAGCGGAATTGACGTCCCACGGGAATTTGTGATTAAATTATGATTTTTGGCCGTCATCCGAAACTGATGATCTAAAATAGCATATATGTGCGAGACAGGATACGCGGCTGTATTTTTTAGGGTCTCCACTTTATAATTTCATTGAAATATGAGAAGAGAGAAACTTTACAATATTCAAAGATATTTCGTGAATTAAATTATGAATATTGGTCGTAATCTGAGATTGTTGATCCAAAATAGCAGACATGTACGGTATAGGGTACGCAGTTACAGCAGGTAACAAAAACAAATTGTTGAAACGCTGTTTAATAATCCTAGTAATAATACACTTACAAAAAATTGAATGATAAACCATGCCCCGGGAGAAAACGACGCGGATTCTGTTTCCGATTCTTTTATGCGCTTATGATTGATTTCGGTTTACGTTGACAACCGAGTGATTGATGTTCTCTTTGAAATTTTCCTCGCAGTAGGCGGTTATTGATCTAATTCGTGAAATTAAAGAGACCTGAAATTTAGTCATTCGCGACTCCGCGACTGTAAACGTCGATTAGCTGGCGGTGGACTCTGAAAGAGGTCAGATTATAGCGACCATTTTTTTCTGGCGTGGGTACCTAGCGCGAATGTCCGTGTCGAGGAGTGGTTCTCCGTCGCAATTCCAACGGCCCCGCACTTTGCCGGCTTTGAACCTCAGTTCCTTGCCTCGGTAGGTCTCGACGTGAGATAGGTCGGCCATGGTGTAAGAGCTCTGGCTGAAACGCTGGAAAGTTCGTAGCCTCTGGTACAGGGAGGTCTGGTGGACTATGAGCACGTTTAGGTAGCCATCACCCAAGTGGCAGTAGGGTGCCAAACCGTGAGGATTTCTGCTGCCCGCGCAGCTCATGTTCGCGCCGGCGAGTAGGAAGAAATTGCTCGAGATGTCAATCCACTTGTCTTTGTTATCGTCGTGATTTCCTGAGGCGCATCTGCTACAGTGTTGGTAGCACTTGCTTTGGTTCTCGTCAATCTCGTTGCCGAGAATGCTGACCGTTCCTTCGTAGCCGTTACCACCAAGCATCTTCCGTGTACCTGAAACGGAACGACATGCACAACGGCGGAGGACCAAGCGGGAACTCACCGACATACTCGTAGCGAGTCGGCCCCATCCAACGCAACTTCTCACTGTAGTAACTGATATCGCCCAGAAATCCGTAACTGATGACGTTCGAGCTCATCTGGAGCAATCGATCCTCGTGGTGCACGGAAATTAGGTCCAACCCCAGCGACGCCCCCATGACGATATGGAGCAGGGCAGTAATGACATCTGTCGTACCATGCAAGCAGTAGCTGGTGGTGTCCGTGCTACCCCCAGGTACCACTCCCACCTTTACCTTCGGCTTCGGTATGGCCACACTGGGATTATGAGGGTTAACACCATTCAGACGACACTCGCGCAAAATCAGCCCGGTGAACACCTCCCCGGCGGTACCATCACCACCGACGCACACCACCGCGTCTACCCCATCCAACTTATCATCCTCCTCCAACGCGTCCCGAATCTCATTCTTCTTCTTCGTCACCACCACGCTCAAATCGACGCCGGCCAGATCGAAAAGGGGCCTAGCGTAGTTCTCGTAGATCTTCAACCCGCGCCTCTTTCCACCGAACGGATTCACAAACATCAGTATCCGCCTGGGCCTCTCCACCAACTCTAAAAACGCACCAACTCAAAACGCGCAAACACACCTCAAGCCTTACGGTTGATCTCATGCCGTATCGTCTCCGTCCATTCGATCACGACGCTCGGACTGTCATGGCGGAAGGTCACAACGCAAGGTCTCCACACGTTCTTCCTCCCCCGCCTCGCGTACACCACCTGAAACTTCTTCGGGTCGGACTTCTTGAACATGTATCGTACGGCGATGACGTCGGCGATCGGCACGGCGCATTTCACTGCAAGTGAAGGTCAGTCGCGCAATTTCGGGTGGTAAAGCTTTACCGCAACTCAGACAAGAATCCTCCAGCTTCCACCTTCTTTTCCTGCCGTCGTTTCTGAACGTCGTCGGAGGAAGCGTCGCCATTTCCAACTGTGGGTAATCGTTTATGAATTACTCGCAGATAGTAGCGATAACTGTCACCGTTCACTGATTAGATAATTTGTGACAATTCCACCATAGAACCATACGAAACGACGCCGTCAGTGGAGATCCTCGGTTCGGATTGGATCGAGGCCACCTTTCTAATTGTTAACCTACGTTATGTTAGCCTGCTAGCAGAAAATTGAGTTTTCTGTTGGGAAAATTAGAATTACACGTCAGAAATTAAATTGGAACGTACCTCTGGGGGGTCCAGGGGGGAATACCCTCCACGGAAAAAAAACAAACTTCGATCTTTCCCCTGTGATACATCCTCCCTCCAAGACATCTACAATCAGTTTTTTCATCATCATTCTCGAGAAAGAACAATCGAAGTCCCCCCCCCCCCCCCCGGTGATGTACACCCCCTTAAGACACATACAACCCCCCGTACGTTTTTTTAAGAAATACCATCGAAGCTCCTTTTCCTGGAGGAGACTGGTGTGGAATGCTCCTCAGGAAAAGCAGCTTCGATGGCTCTCCCCCGAGCATGATCACCACACCACCGGAGGGGAATACCCTCCACGGGAAAAAAAAGCTTCGATCATTCCCCAGTAATGCATCCTCCCTTCGAGATATCTACAATCGGTTTTTTCGTCATCATCCTCGAGGAAGAGCTATCGAAGCTTCTTTTGTCTGTGGGATATTCCATACCCCCCAGACCCTTCGGAAATGTACACCTCCTCAAGATATTCACAACCCTTAGTACGCTTCTTTAGGTAATCCGTCGAAGCTACTTCTCCTGGGGGAGTTAGGTCCTCAGGAAAAAGGAGCTTCGATGGTTACCCGGTGACGCATCCTCCCCTAAAGAGATTTACAGCCAGTTTTTTCATCAGCATGCTCGAGGAAGACCCATCGAAGCTTCTTTTGCTTGGGGAGTATTTCTTACCCACCAGACACCCCGGTGATGTATACTCCCTCAAGGTACACACAACCCTCCGTACCTTTTTTTTAAGAAATACCATCGACGCTCCTTTTCCGCGGGGGGTCTGGGGGTATATGAACTTCGATCATTCCCCAGCGCTGCACCCTGTCTCCAAGACATCTACAATGGCTCTCACCTGAACATGATCGCCACAAATATTGTGTTTCAAATGGTTTTGAAACGAGCACGTGACATTGGGGGGAGAGGGTGTGGGCAATACCCCCGGGAGAAAAAAGAACTTCAGTCGTTCCCCACCGATCTATCCTCCCCCCAAGATATCAACAATCAGTTTTTTCATCATCATTCTCGAGAAAGAGCCATCGAAGCTTATTTTACCTGGGGGATTTTCCATACCCCCCAAACCTCCCGCTAATGTACACTCCCTTCAAGATATTCACAGCCCCCAGTACGTGTGATCATTTTTTTTAAATACTATCGCTCCTTTTCCTGGGGGAGATTGGTGTGGAATGCTCCTGAGGAAAAGAAACTGCGATGGCACTCCCCCGAACATGCCTACCACAAATTTTGATGGTTCTAAACGTTTTGAATGAAGGTACCACCGGGGGGAATACCACCCCAAGGAAAAAAAGAAGTGATACATCCTCCCTCCAAAGACATTCACAATCAATTTTTTCATTCATCACTGTTGAGGAAGCGCTATTAAAGCTAAAGAGCCGTAGTCAGAAATTAAACTAAAATTAATTGAATTGAGCACCGTTTCAAAAATTATGCTCTCCTGATACAAATTGATCTGTTAACAGATTATGATGTATCAAGGTTGTAGGAAAGCCTGTGTACAATTTACTGAGTTCTGAAGCGTAATGTTCTCCTCACACAAATTTCGCAGTACTTACCCATTTGTAAAATGTACACACCCCAAATTATATAAGGATGACAGAAACGTAACAAGTTTTGGTAGATTCTCAAGCGTTATGTTCTCCCGATACAAATAGCTGTCAGGCTTATAGAAGCTCAAGATTTTGTAGAACTTATTGGCACTCACTCAAGCGTTATATTATCCCCATACACATTTTTATTTAAAAATCTTCGTATTAGGATCACATATGATAGAGAGAAAGCAGAGAGCAGGTAGAAATCAGGTAGAGAGCAGATATAAAGAAGGCAGAGAGAAGGTAAAGGGTAGGTAGATAGAAGGTAGAAAGCCAACAAGCTTTGTTTTCCCAATACAAATTTCTCGTTTAAAAATATGTTTATCAGGATCGCAGAAACGCAGGAAGTTATGGAATTAATGGCACACGCACATTCTTAAGCGTTATGTTCTCCCGATACAAGTTCTTCATCTAATAGTTGTGTCCGGATTATGGAAAGCCAACTTCTTGGTACATACAGTTGCAAGCGTTATGTGCTCCCGATACATATTGCTCATGTAGAAATTATTGCATTATCACACCTTCACACCTTTTAAAGCGTCATTTATTTATTTATTATCCCTCTCTTGTTCTGGGCCCTCAACAGACTTGCGCGCAATTACGGAGTGGCACAGACAGGTAACCGGCAGGCACCGACACGTAAAATATTCTCAGATCAATTTTGACGGTCCGGACGGAGACGTGACGGTGACGTGAAAGTGTAGTGCAATTGACATTTCGTTGACGGTGCGGTGACGGAACGGTGGCGGTACGGATAGTATGGATCGCGCCTAATGCTTTTTAGAGATACCCCTGCAGGAATTGTAGAATTAGTGGAACAATTTTATCAGGGTCATAGAAACTCAAGATCTTGTAGAATTTGTTGGCACACACCTTCTCAGGCGTTGTGCTTTTCTCATACAAATTTCTCATTTAAAAATCTTTGTATTAGGATCCCAGAAACGCATGAATGTATTGGCACCCACATTCTCAAAGGTTATGTTTTCTCGATACAACATTTCTCATCTACGGATTGTTGTATCGGGATCATAGAGACGCACCAAATTGAGGAATTTACTTAAATACACATTGTCAAGCTTTATGTTCGCCCAATACAAAATTGTCCTCTAAAAAGCTTTGTATCGGGATCACAGAAGGGCAGGAAGCAGGGGAAATTTACTAGCACATCGATTCTGAAACGTTATACTTTCCCAATTAAAATTTTTCATCTAGAAAGTGTTGTATTAGGATCATAGAAGCTCAAGATTTTCCAGAATTTATGGACACCCAACTGTTTAAACGTTATGTTTCCCGGTTCAAATTTTTCATCTAAACGTGTTTGTATTAGGAGCACAGAGACGTAAAATTTATTAGCACACACATTCTTAAGCGTTACGTTCTCTTTATACAAACGTCTCATCCAAAATTATTGTATCAGGAGTACAGAAAGTATGTTGGAACATACAATCTCAAGCGTTTTGTTTTCTAGATACAAAAAACTTTGTGTTAGGATCACAGTTATATAGTTATATTATAAAGCGTAATATAGCGATAGAAATTGATGTATCAGGATCATAGATACGTAACATTTTTCAGAATTTATCGGCACACACCTTCTCAAGCGGTATATTCTTCCAAATCTTTCATTTAAACGGTTCTAGCAGGATCACAGAAAGTTGTGGAATTTTCTTTCTTTCTCATGCAGAAATTGTTGTATCAAGATCATATAAGCTGTAGAATCTATTAGCTCACGCCTTCTCAAACGTCATGTTCTCCCAGTACAAATTGTTTATTTAAAAAGTTTTGTATTAGAGAAAAGCAGGGAGTTTTTGGAGTATATGCAGTACATTCTCAAGCTTTATGTACTCCGATCTCATATAGAAACTGTATCAGGATCACAGAGACGTAAGAAGTTGTCCATTTTATTGGCACGCACCTTCTAAAGCGCCCAAATTTCTCTTGTGAATGCACTTGTATCAGGATCACAGAATTTACACGACATTGCAAAGCATTTATTTCAAAAATGAGAAGAAGAGAATCAGAGAATCAAAACAATGCGATCAGTATGGGGCGCTTCTGGCACTCCAACAGCATACGAAGGTGGCAGCGCATGTTCCCGAAGGATAGACTGCGAGCGAACACGCCGCCTTGCAAATGGTACCCGGTATCTTGATTCCGACGAATTCGCAAGGAGTATTTTCCCCTGAAAACATACAAACTGCAATTGACGTCCCTTTGGCACTAGGTTACTCACCCCCTTGTCCATCAACCCTGGCGCCGAGGCACACAAGTAAGAGCAGCAGCCACTTCATTCTTACGAAAAGTGAAAATAGCCGCCAGCTTTTATAGCAATGAGTCGAAAAAGGCAACTGGTCCCGCCTTCCTCGGGCTGCACTTGTCGTATTTTTCATCCTTTAATTCTTTAAAGGTCACGCCGACTTTGATCAATTTACTTGATTAAGAAGGTTGCAACGTTTACGCATTTACGACAAACACGTCTTATTTTCCAAGAAATTAAGGCTTCTGAAAATTCAAAAATACGCAAAAATTTGAACAGGGAATTGGGGCTTTTCATAAAAGTAAAACCAGAACATTTTTTAAAATTACAAAATTCAAGGAGGTTATACATAAAAACTAAAAACTCTGTTCCTCTAAAACTGAGCAGATAAAAAATTATTCTGAGATTTTTTAAAAATTCAAAAAAGTAAAGAATTTGGAATATGGAAACGAAGTGTGAATTTCTCGCATGTAATCTTCCTTTAATACGAAATTGTAATGCTTCGCACTCTCACAATTTTTGTGTATAACCCCCTCTTTCCGCTTCATAATTCAGGTTACAAATCTAGACCCCCACCCCCATAAACCAATTTTTTTTAACTTATCGTTGAAACCCCACGTTTTCTTTTTCTTGAGAGCGGCAGCATTTTCGCATACAATTGTCCGAGTCGTTTCACATCTCAATGGTTAGTGGCTTGATAATGCACGCTATAAATCTGCCCCCCCCCCCCTCAATTTCACATAACATCTCTTTTTCTGTTTTTTTTAGCTATATCGTCGACACAAAGTTTTCAGTTAGATGCGCCGGAATTTTTGACACATCTAATCCCAACGGCTCGTGGCCTTAAAATTTACATTATAAATTTGGACATCCGCCCCTCCACCCCCCCATTCAAGCAATATAACCTTTTTTTGTTTTTCACACATAAGCGTTGACATTCAATTTTTTTTTCGCATGCAATTGGACGATCTACTTCAAATCACGACGGTTCGTGGCTGCATGATTTGCGCTATAAATCTGCCCCCCCCCCTCTATTTTCGTTTATAAAAGAAGTAAGCCGTTTTTCGTTGACACGCAAATTTTTCTTGAAGACACCAGAATTTTCGCAACTCACTTTAAATATTAAGTGTTCGTGGCTTTATAATTTACCTGATAAATCTCCCCCCCCCCCCCCCCCTTCATCCCAAACATACATTTGCATGTGTTTAAACTCTACACGTTTTTCTAGGTGCGCCAGAATCCAACTAAATCCAATCTCAATGATTCGTGTATGCTTACAGTTATCAATCTGCCCCCCCCCCCCCCATTTTCACTGATAGAACATGTACCAGTACCCTACTGGTACCGTTCAGGAGATTCTCTTGAATCTTTTGAGCCTTTCGACATCTGAATTCCTTGAATTTCTGGAGCCACATGAAACTCTAGAACTTACGGCCCTATTGATTCAAAGAGAATATACTCTTCGAGGAGGTATTATTGGTTATACAGCTTCTGTCAGTCACCAGGAGAACATGATTGATCATGAGGGCTAAGTCCAATAGATAGAGAATTTTTTTTCTATCAACGGAATATTCTATTACTTTATTTTCGTTTAGAAATTCTGTATTAGGAGAACATAATATAAGAGGAGGTATCTCTCCTAATTCACGGATTATAGGTGTTTTAACCATTGTCTGGTTACATAGAGATCATAATAAATGACGTACTTACTTTTCTGTGCTCCCGAGAAATGATTTTATCTTCGTTCGAACTCTTGCAACTTTTCTATCAGGAGAATATAATTCGCTGCTCCTTCGGGAAGTACAGCAGGAGCATATAATAAATGGGGCTGTTTCAAAGCATTACAATTGTTGTATCAGAATCTGCCTTTCTTTATTTTCTCTGGGGCCACTTCATTGTGGTATCTAGGATGCCTTTTGGTTCGGTCAATGCACCAGAAAAAGGGAATATTTAGTTAGGTCCAAGTCCAAGTAAATAATATAATTAATGTAGCGACTTGCGATAGTGTCGCGTTTCGAATGCAGAAACTTAAACTCACTTAATGGGAATAAATACAAAGAGAGGTTCCTTTAAAATACTCTCCCGTCTCACATTTACAAAACGCGCCAGCATCGGATCGCTCGCGCGAGAATATCAAATTCTAAACTTTATCCCGTCCTGGACCCTTTGTCCCTTTCAATAGAAAAACGTTAAGGTCCCGCGAGACCTCCGCACTCTCAACGTAACTTCTGATAAGTTTCCCGAACTGAAAGTAACGGAACGTGGCGTGCGGCTTAAGAAAAAAAAAGGGTGAACGGATGACGAAAACGTTAAACGTATGTAATTTATAAGAGTTACGTGTGGGATCCCGTGGGAGATATTTGGTCTTAATTCATTTGATGATACACGAAAGGGTCGACGTTTAATAAAATATCGCGCGCAATTTATTTCGGCGGCCAACGTTCTCATGGGAGGAACTTTGGGGCGACATCTATCAGCCGAAACTTTAGAAATACATAAATATTCAAACATATTTCTCTTTACGGCCTCCTCTCGTTCACGTACCATCGGCAATTTTTAAGGTAGTTCTTTACACTTTGTCGTTCCAACTTTTATACGAAAAAACAGATATCTCCTGTCAAATTTCAACTTACACGTTTGATTTTGGTATAAGGATAGCATGGTGTGCGAGTGCTAAATCAGAATACCTTGTTATCTAGCCCCAGTTCTGTCAACCTTCGATACTTGCATTGTTTATTTTATTTAAATTATAACCTATAACGTTTGCATCATAAATAAAGCAGACGATGTATTAGACGCATTTGACAGTATTTATTGATTTTAAGGTATAATTCAGGTAACGTATCGATTTTGATGTTGATGGGATATTCACGCTTTATCTGAGCACCTAAGGAGCAACTACAAGTCAACGAGGCAGAGAGCGTAGCGCATTAAAAATCTAGCATTTCTATGGTCTTGTATCAAGGGAGAAGTTTTAAATTTGTGTTACGAGGACATGCCAATGCATTCTACGACCTGTTCCGTTGCTGTAATCCTGATACCACGATTTTTAAAAGAGAAATTCGTATCCACATTTGAAAGTGAGCCTTTCAACCGATTCCATCAATCATTACGTCTGTTTGCTTCGACGATCCTGATGCTAACATTTTTAATTTGTATTAGGAGAACAAACGCTCAAGAATGGGTGTGTTAATTTCTGGGATTCTGATGCAAAAATTTTTAGATGAGAATATTTGTGTCGGGAAAACATAGCCCCTGAGAATGCGTGTGCCACCCAATTCTACAAGTGTCTGGGATCTGAGACCCGGATACAAAAATTTGTAAATGTGTACTTTGTGTTAGGAGAACAAGAAGCTGGAAACTGTGCGTGTCAATTAAATCTTCAGATTCTAATTGCTAATTAGTTTAATTAACATTTATTAATTGCGTCAAATAAGCGTCAAAAGTTTCTCAATATGAGGTTTCTCTTGCAACAGAATTGAAATGATTTAAATTCGGGAACATAATACTCGATTTCAATTACACTTTTCACAATTTCAGGTGCTAATTAAATTTATTAATTGACTTGCAAGCGTCAAAACTATATTCTAGTAATAATTATACACTCTTAGTTGCTAATTAATTTAAATGAGATGATTAATTGCGTAAATTAGGTGTCGAAGTTCCTTAATAGGAAGTTTCTCATGCAGCAGAATTCTTCAGGAGGCACTGGTTGTTAAAGTTGAATTGATTTTAATTCGGAAACGTACAACAGTCGATTTCAATTACACTTTTCCCAATTTCAGACGCTAATTAAATTTATTAATTGACTTAAAAGCGTCAAAATTATATTCTAGAAATAATTATACACTCTTAGTTGCTAATTAATTTAAATGGGATGATTAATTGTGTAAATTAGGTGTCAAAGTTCCTTAATAGGAAGTTTCTCATGCCGCAGAATTCTTCAGGAGGCACTGATTGTTTAAATTGAATTGAATTAAATTCGGAAACGTACAACAGTCTATTTCAATTACACTTTTCCCAATTTCAGACGCTAATTAAATTTATTAATTGACTTAAAAGCGTCAAAATTATATTCTAGAAATAATTATACACTCTTAGTTGCTAATTAATTTAAATGGGATGATTAATTGTGTAAATTAGGTGTCAAAGTTCCTTAATAGGAAGTTTCTCATGCCGCAGAATTCTTCAGGAGGCACTGATTGTTTAAATTGAATTGAATTAAATTCGGAAACGTACAACAGTCGATTTCAATTACACTTTTCCCAATTTCAGACGCTAATTAAATTTATTAATTGACTTAAAAGCGGCAAAATTATATTCCAGAAATAATTATACACTCTTAGTTGCTAATTAATTTAAATGAGATGATTAATTGCGTAAATTATGTGTCAAAGTTCCTTAATAGGAAGTTTCTCATGCAACAGAATTCTTCAGGAGGCACTGGTTGTTAAAATTGAATTGATTTAAATTCGGGAACGTACAAGAGTCGATTTCAATTACACGTTTCCCAATTTCAGACGCTAATTAAATGTATTAATTGACTTACTCTAGTAATTATTATACACCTTTAGATACTAATTAATTTGAATGAGATTGCGTAAATTAGGTGTCAAAGTTCCTTAATAGGAAGCTTCTCACACAGCAACATTTTTCAATGAGGCACTGGTTATTGAAATTGAATTGATTTAAATTCGGGAACGTACAAGTGTCGATTTCAATTACACTTTTCCCAAATTTAGACGCCAATTAAATTTATTAATTGACTTACAATCATAATTTAATTTAATTTAAGTAATTATTATACACCCGTAGTTGCTAATTAATTTAATTGCGATTATTAATTGCGTAAATTAGGTGCCAAGGTTGCTTAATTGGAACCTTCTCATGCAGCATAATTTTTTTTGAAGAACTGCTGTTAAAATTGATTTGATTTGAATTCGGGAACCTAACAGTTGTATGCTAATTGCAGTTCCAATTTAAGACCGTAATTAATTTGATTACTTGCGCCGAATTCAATTTTAGCTACCGCTCCTAACCTCCTATTGTGTGACTTTTCCACTTAATTAGCGCAAGTGGTCATCACAATGTATAAATTAATTATGCAGCAGTTTTAATTATACATGTTTAATTGCTAATTAATCTTATTGACATTATTAATTCGGTAAATTAAGTGTAAGTTCTTGGGGAACGATAACTAAAATTCAGAGACGTGACGGTGGTTTTAAACTAAGTACTAATCATCCGTCCGAGGCTTAAGATCTCAAAATTGAGACCTCGTGGAATGGGTGAATGGTGTGTTCGACGATGAATGTATGGGACGCGTATAAATAAATTGATGTGCGAACAATGATGACACATATTTTACAAGTTTGTGGGAGGGAAAATAAATGAGAATCGCCGTTCATGCGAAACGTTCTTCGATAAACACTTCCAAATAGAATCAATTATCCATCTGAATTCGGGCAGAAGGGTGTTATTAGATACGCGCCGCAAAAGCTACTATAATTAATGGTCCCCGCCGAGAAGGTATTTAAATTCCATTATAAGGCAAACACGGCGTTTTGTAAAGGGAAACTCGCTCCCTATTTCCATATTCGAGATCTGCGTGAGAGACCGTTTTTAATTACGCACTTTGTTCAGCGAGCTGAAAAATGCGATACGCATTTTACTGATCGGTTATGGCTTAATTACGCAATTAAAGGCGTTGCTTGCGTGCAAGTTTTAGTGGGACAAGAAAACACCCTTCACAATACCTTTTGTCGAATAGAGGGCGCTTCGTATTGTAGGTATTCTAGTAACGTAATTAAAAAATACCAAATGCGCCCTTTGAAGTTGCCGGAATGCGAGCGCTCTTATTGGAATCTCCTTTTCGCCTTTATTCTCACTTTGTGAAATATTCGCGAAATTGGAAAGGTAATTGAGACGTTTGAGAAATAAGCGCCTCGATAATTATATTAGTCTGAAACTACCGATCATTAGGTAATAATTAGTAAATTATTTGATTCTGTTGCAGGATCCTCACCAAGTAAACAAGATGCTAATTCAGTGCGAACAAATACCGACATGACATCACAAATTACAGGTAAGCAATTACCCACTATCGCCTCTTGGGTATTTAACCCAAGGCACTAACCGACTGTAGTGATAACACTTTTCAGTAAACAAAAATAGTTAAAAGGGCGCCCACCTGAAGAACCGTCGAAAAATTTTCACCAATGAATTTTTGCACACGCTTAGGGGTTGGTGTGACCTTTTTTGATCAATTTTTAATTGAAAATGTTATTTAAATATGTTTTTGAATCAATAAACACTCTCCTTTGGTGTACCAAGTGAAGAATTGCCACCAGGGAATTTTTGGACAGGCTTAGGGGTTGGTGTGACCTTTTTTGAACATGTTTAATGGAAAATGTTAGTTAAAAATGCGTTTGAGGCCCTCTTCTAGTGTACCAAGTGCAGGATTATCACCTGAGAATTTTTGCAGAGGCTTAGGGGTTGGTGTGACATTTATTGATCAATTTTTAATGGAAATTGTTAGTTAAAAATGCGTTTGAGGCAATAAACACCCCCTTCTGGTGTGCCAAGTGAAGGATTATCACCAGAGAATTTTTGCACAGGCTTAGGGGTTGGTGTAACCTTTTTTGATCAATTTTTAATGGAAAATGATAGCTAAAATTGCGTTTGAAGCAATAAACACCCTCTTTTGGTGTACTAAGTGAAGGATTATCACCTGAGAATTTTTTGCACATGCTTAGGGGTTGTTGTGACCTTTTTTGGTCAATTTTTAATGGTAAATGTTAGTTAAAAATGCGTTTGAGGCAATAAACACCCTTTTCTCGTGTACCAAGTGTGGGACTGTCACCAGAGAATTTTTGCACAGGCTTAGGGGTTAGTTTGACCTTTTTTGAAAAATTTTTAATGGAAAATGATAGCTAAAAATGCATTTGAAGCAATAAACACCCTCTTTTGGCGTACCAAGTGAAGGATTGTCACCAGGAAATTTTTGCACAGGCTTAGGGGTTGGTGTGACCTTTTTTTAACAATTTTCAATGGAAAATGATAGCTAAAATTGCATTTGAAGCAATAAACACCCTCTTTTGGTGTACCAAGTGAAGGATTATCATCTGAGAATTTTTGCACAGGCTTAGGGGTTGTTGTGACCTTTTTTGGTCAATTTTTAATGGAAAATGATACCTAAAATTGCGTTTGAAGCAATAAACACCCTTTTTTTGGTGTACCAAGTGAAGGATTATTACCTGAGAATTTTTGCACATGCTTAGGGGTTGGTTTGAGTTTTATGATCAATTTTCAATGGTAAATGTTAGTTAAAAATGCGTTTGAGGCAATAAACACCCTTTTCTAGTGTACCAAGTGTCGGATTGTCACCTGAGAATTTTTGCAGAGGCTTAGAGGTTGGTGCGACCTTTTTTGGTCAATTTTTAATGGAAAATGTTAGTTAAAAATGCATTAGAGGCAATAAACACCCTCTTCTAGTGTACCAAGTGTAGGATTGTCACCTGAGACTTTCTGCACAGGATTAGGGGTTGGTGTGATCATTTTTTGAACAATTTTTAATGGAAAATGTTAGCTAAAAATGCATTAGAGGCAATAAACACCCTCTTCTAGTGTACCAATAGTAGGATTGTCACCTGAGAATTTTTGCAGAGGCTTAGGGGTTGGTGTGACCTTTTTTGATCAATTTTTAATGGAAAATGATAGCTAAAATTGCATTTGAAGCAATAAACGCCCTCTTTTGGTGTACCAAGTGAAGGATTATCACCAGGAAATTTTTGCACAGGCTTAGGGGTTGGTTTGACTTTTTTGATCAATTTTCAATGGTAAATGATAGCTAAAATTGCATTTGAAGCAATAAACACCCTCTTTTGGTGTACCAAGTGAAGGATTATCACCAGGAAATGTTTGCACAGGCTTAGGGGTTGGTTTGACCTTTTTGAACAATTTCTAATGGAAAATGGTAGCTAAAAATGCATTTGAAGCAATAAACACCCTCTTTTGGTGTACCAAGTGAAGGATTGTCACCACAGAATTTTTGCACAGGCTTAAGGGTTGGTGTGACCTTTTTTGGTCAATTTTCAATGGAAAATGATAGCTAAAAATTCGTTTGAAGCAATAAACACCCTCTTCTAGTGTACCAAATGTAGGATTGTCACCTGAGACTTTCTGCACAGGCTTAGGGGTTGGTGTGATCGTTTTTTGAACAAGTTTTAATCGAATATGTTAGTAAAAAATGCGTTTGAGTCTTTGAGTCTAGTGTACCAAGAGTAGGATTGTCACTTGAGAATTTTTGCAGAGGCTTAGGGGTTGGTGTGACCTTTTTTGATCAATTTTTAATGGAAAATGTTAGTTAAAAATGCGTTTGAGGCAATAAACACCCTCTTCTAGTGTACCAAGTATAGGATTGTCACCTGAGAATTTTTGCAGAGGCTTAGGGGTTGGTGTGACCTTTTTCGATCAATTTTTAATTGAAAATGTTAGTTAAAAATGCGTTTGAAGCAATGAACCCCCTCTTCTGATGTGGCAAGTGAAGGATTGTCACCAGGAAATTTTTGCACAGGCTTAGGGGTTGGTGTAACCTTTTTTGATCAATTTTTAATGGAAAATGATACCTAAAATTGCGTTTGAAGCAATAAACACCCTTTTTTTGGTGTACCAAGTGAAGGATTATCACCTGAGAATTTTTGCACATGCTTAGGGGTTGGTTTGACTTTTTTGATCAATTTTCAATGGTAAATGTTAGTTAAAAATGCGTTTGAGGCAATAAGCACCCTTTTCTAGTGTACCAAGTGTAGGATTGTCACCAGAGAATTTTTGCACAGGCTTAGGGGTTGGTTTGACCTTTTTTGAACAATTTTTAATGGAAAATGATAGCTAAAAATTCATTTGAAGCAATAAACACCCTCTTTTGGCGTACCAAGTGAAGGATTGTCACCAGGAAATGTTTGCACAGGCTTAGGGGTTAGTGTGACCTTTTTTTAAAAATTTTTAATGGAAAATGATAGCTAAAATTGCATTTGAAGCAATAAACACCCTCTTTTGGTGTACCAAGTGAAGGATTATCACCAGGAAATGTTTGCACAGGCTTAGGGGTTGGTGTGACCTTTTTTAACAATTTTTAATGGAAAATGATAGCTAAAATTGCATTTGAAGCAATAAACACCCTCTTTTGGTGTACCAAGTGAAGGATTATCACCAGGAAATTTTTGCACAGGCTTAGGGGTTGGTGTGACCTTTTTTAACAATTTTTAATGGAAAATGATAGCTAAAATTGCATTTGAAGCAATAAACACCCTCTTTTGGTGTACCAAGTGTAGGATTGTCACCAGAGAATTTTTGCACAGGCTTAGGGGTTGGTGTGACCTTTTTTTAACAATTTTCAATGGAAAATGATAGCTAAAATTGCATTTGAAGCAATAAACACCCTTTTTGGCGTACCAAGTGAAGGATTCTCACCAGGAAATTTTTGCACAGGCTTAGGGGTTGGTGTGACCTTTTTTAACAATTTTTAATGGAAAATGACAGCTAAAAATGCATTTGAAGCAATAAACACCCTCTTCTGGTGTACCAAGTGTAGGATTGTCACCAGGAAATTTTTGCACAGGCTTAGGGGTGGGTGTGACCTTTTTTATCAATTTTTAATGGAAAATGCTAGTTAAAATGCGTTTGAAGCAATAAACACCCTCTTTTGGTGTGCCAAATGAAGGGTTGTCACCAGGGAATTTTTGTACTGGCTAAGGAGTGGGTGTGACTCTTTTTTTTGTTCATAATTGTATATTTGGTGCGGTGAAATCACTCGTCTGCACCTCCTCATCTCTTAACTTAATTTATAACGTTGCCAGTTTTATCTTTTTCTGTTTTAGCCGACCAAGTTTACGAGTTTCTCCACTCCCACCCCGACTACCTCGAACACTATATCATGGACGAGGTCGAGCTGGAACAGCTCGAACGCTGGATAATACGCAAGTCGCAGCGCTTGAAAAAGAAGCACGAGCTGCCCGTCGCGAAGAACGGCCGCAAGACGAGCCTGTCGCGCTGGAAGTTTTGCGTGCACGCCGACAAGCGGCAGATGCTGCAAGACCTCACGCATAGTCTTCAGCTGAGGCCGACAAAAAATCAGGTACTTTGGGAATTAGCTAACTGCATCTGTTCCGCCGTAAACGCCGACGGTTTTAGGTTAGAATCGCCGCTAACGAAGCGTCGCCGTAATTATTTTCGATAACTCATTTACAGACTCTACCTCCCCGATCCGGTCAACAGCGGCGCGTTGTTGCAATATCTCGGCGAGAATTTGATTGCAGGCAGGTTGCAGGAGGACGGGCCGATTGACGTCTCGACGTACGTGGCGAAAACGCGCGAGGCGGTTAGGGTGTCGAAGGGCGACAATGATTCGCGGTTCATCCCCGATTTGTTCTACGAGGTAAAAGCCCAAGAAGTTGAAGTACCAGTATCAAATTATCAAGTTTTTGCCTATACAATAATTGTGTGCTCATACGAGCCCCGTTTCCATCGAATTGGAATTTCAAGCGCCTGCCAAAATTTCCTAGTGAAGTCTTCAGTAAAAGATGACCTTTGAAATTTTAGTCGGCGAGTTGTAGCCGAACTAACAGCTAAAAGTTCAAGGCTTTACTCTAAGACTTTCACGACGTATTTTTCGAATTCAAAATTTGTGAAGCGCGTATAAAACCTGTCACGGTAAAAGAAAGTAGCCCAAAATTGCTATAGTTATTTCAAATTGGCACTCCAACTTCGCGGCTTTAATTTGCAATTGTAGGATGATGTGGGGCACATTCTGTGTCAGGCTGTGACATATCCAGATGGACAGTTGGCGGCGGTGCTGGAACTGTGGCGGCGAGAGTCAGAGGGTCCTTTTCACGAGGAGGACGAGGAGATCGCGTGCAGCTACCTCGTCTGGGGCGGCATCGCCCTCCATTACGCACACTTATACCTTAACATGAACCAGCAGAGGAAGCTGAACGACTTTCTTCTCACCGTCGTCAAGTGAGTATCTACTACAGTAAATCCCTTCTAGTATTCCAGCCGTTCTCAGGTCGATATTTCAAGACATGGTCAGCATGGACGTTCTCGTGATAAAAATCATGAACTTCGCGCAGAGACTGGTCGACGCCGACAGGGCGTCTCTGTTTCTTGTCGACGCCAAGAATCAGGAGCTGTACGCGACGATATTCGACGTCGGCGTCGAGAATACGGACGAGACGACGGTTTACGAGGGCGAGGAGTTCAAAAAGATGCACACGTCTAAGGAGATTCGCTTTCCCTTAGGAACGGGAATCGCGGGCGAGGTGGCAATGTCCGGGGAAATTCTGAACATAACCGACGCGTACGCCGACGCCCGCTTTAACAGGACCGTCGATCAACTCACCGGATACAGGACGAACACAATACTCTGCATGCCGATATTTATTAGGGGCGCCGTGATTGGGGTAGTGCAAATGGTGAACAAGCACAGCGGGTACTTCACAAAGGAGGACGAGGAGGCGTTCGAAATGTTCGCGGTCTACTGCGGTCTCGCCTTGCACCACGCCAAATTGTACGACAAAATTAGACGTTCCGAGCAAAAGCACAGGGTTGCCCTGGAGGTTTTGAGTTACCACAATACCTGTACGGAGGAGGAGCTCGCCACAATTACGGACGAACTGTCCACGATTAACGCCAACGTCGATGATTTTTACTTCAACCCCTTCCAGTGGGAGGACTACCAGAAGGCCGGCTTCGTCATTCGCATGTTTACCGATTTGTTTGGACTGACGAGATTCGACGAGCAGAGTCTGCTTCGATTCGTCCTGACCGTTAAGAAGAACTATCGACGGGTCCCCTACCACAACTGGTCGCACGGATTTTCGGTAGCGCACTGTATGTACTGCATTATCAAGAATTCGAGAGATACTTTTCTACCTAATGAGGTAAGTGTGGTCCCGCTAAAAATCAAGTTATCATTCTTCAGAATTGCGAAATATTGGGGGAATGGGGAGAATGAATGTGCAGGGGTGAATGTTAAGGGAGGGAATTTTCAGTGGCGAATGTATCGATGACGGAAACGATGGTGCATTTGCAGGGGACACTGGTCAGGGTCAAAAAATGACAAAAACCTCCTGTCGAACTTTACTGTTTAAATTTGCAAAGCACGACTTTTATCGCACGAATTTCTAGGGGCCAACGATTAGGAGACGATACGCTTTACCCATCACCCCCAATACATTCTGGGGTGAACATATCACTGGAGGGTATGGAATACACCCCCCACCCCCCACCCCGTACACAAAAGAGAGAAGACTGAACTCATATGGATATGGAATACCTCCCAGCCCTTCAGGTTCTACATTCTTCCCCAATATGTTTAGTACCAGGGCGTCTGGAGGATATCAATACCCCCCCAGTACAGAAAAGAAGAAAATGAACATTGAGCTTCTTTTTTCCTCTGGGGGGTATTCCATACCCTCCAGATCCCCCAGTTGTCAATTTTTCCTCAAAATGTTTAGTACCGTTTGTACTTGCACCGCAATTTTTGAAAAAAAGGCTTCAAAGCTCCATACCCCCCAGACCCCCCGGTGATACGTTCACCCCACAACTTAGAGCCTTGAAACCTTTTTTCAAAAATTACGGTGTAAGTACTAACGGTACTAAACATTTTGGGAAACAATGTAGAACCGGAGGATCTAGGGGATATGGAATACCTCCCAGCGCAAAAAGAAGCTCAATGTTCATTTCACTCTTTTGTGTACTAGGGGATATTCCATACCCCCCAGACCACCCGGTTGTACATTCTTCCCCAAAATATTTAGTATCGTTAGTACTTACACCGTAATTTTTGAAAAAAGGTTCTAAGGGTCTAAGTTCTGGGTTGAACGTATCACCGGGGGGTATGGAATACCCCCCAGTACACAAAAGAAGAAAATGAACATTGAGAGTCATTTTCCTCTGGGAGGTATTCCATACCCTCCAGACCCCCCGGTTATCAATTTCTCCCCAAAATGTTTAGTACCGTTAGTACTTACACCGTAATTTTTGAAAAAAAGGTTTTAAGGCTCTAAGTTCTGGGGTGAACGTATCACCGAGGGGTATGGAATACCCCCCAGTACACAAAAGAAGAAAATGAACATTATTTCTTTTTCCTCTGGCGGGTATTCCGTACCCACCAGACCCCACGGTTGTCAATTTCTCCCCAAAATGTTTAGTACCGTTAGTACTGACACCATAATTTTTGAAAAAAGGTTTTAAGGCTCTAAGTTCTGGGGTGAACGTATCACCGGGGGGTCTGGGGGTATGGAATACCCCCCAGTACACAAAAGAAGAAAATGAACATTGAGCTTCTTTTTCCTCTGGGAGGGGGGTAATCCATACCCCCCAGACCCACCGGTTGTACTTCTTCCCCAAAATTTGTAGTACCCTTAGCGCGTATATCGCACTTTTTAAAAAGAAGGTAAAGTTTAACGTTCTGGCGGAGAACGAATTACCGGGGGGGTTTGAGGGGGGTTTCCCTATTTTATGTACTGGTGGTATTCCGTATCTCCCAGACCCCACATCCCCGAGCGGAGGGCCCGAAAGCCTTTTTTAAAAAATGACGGTGTTAGTGCTAACGGTACTTAACATGTTGGGGAATAATGTACAACCGAGGGGGGGGGAGGGGTAATTATTCTTAAATCTACTATTCTCCTGGAATATGCTAATAAAATGTCCAGTGTTATCCTGCCCCAAATTTACTAATATTCGTGTGCGGGAATTTTTCAAACATTTTCTCTCCTCCAAGTAGAAATCGTCCTGTAACCCCCCCCCCCCCTCATTTTTACCGAAGTGCACTCACAAAAATTCAATTTTTTGGATACGTAAAATACGCAAAAAAAGCGCGTTCCGAAAATTTCGTTTCCAAAGCAACTGGGCAACAACAGTTAAGAGCGGAAGTCCCCTTACGGCTGTATATTTCACTAACGAATATACAATTCCTACTTGTTTGTCCCCAGAAGTTCTCCTTTCAAAGTTCCCTCTCCAAAATTCACGTACGTCGAATCGCATCCAAAATATTCGCCTGGAAAATTCAGTTTCAGTAACCACACAGAATATTCCATGGAGTTCAATCCAAATTTTTGATTTCTTATTTGCTAATTTACAATTTTTAATTAAATATAACTAATTAATTAACCTTCTCTTACGACATTGAAGGGAATATTGGCACCGTACCTAAAAATAGATTGCTATGAGTAGGCTTGTAGTTCTTGCACCTTTAGTGAGGTCGTCTGCAAGAAAAATAATACCAAGCTAATTGCCCTAAGTAGGTTCGAATTAATTACCCGTAATTTAAATTTTTTCATTAATTAATTAGACAAATGATTAGTATGCCCTAATTCCCAATATGAAATTATGATAATTAATTGGGCGTATTTTCGCAGAGAATTTTGGTTTTTTCATTCTTTTTTATAACGTAATTTATTAAGTAGACGCCACCGTTTTATTGCCGGAAATAAAAGGAAAATGGCAGAATTAACCTCAATCATACACAAATTGAATTAGCCTCTACGAAAAACAGCGAATTTTGCCCGCTATAATCGTGATTTTATTTCACTCCCCCTCCCATACTTCTCCCATTCGCGTGTCGAAGTCAACAAACATCGCATAAAAGATCAATTCGTTCTGTAAACAACTTATTCGAAGGCTTCCTTTTCGAATACTCGATCAATTACCTTCCCTTATTGTTGCATGGGGCGATAAATCAAATTTTACACGCGCCGACACTAAAAGGGCTTCGCCGTCGGTTTTAATTGAAATCGTCTTCTAGAGCTTGGCGCTGTTTATCGCGGCGCTGTGTCACGATCTGGACCATAGGGGCAAGAATAATAAATTTATGTTGGACACCGAGGCCCCGCTGGCCGCCATTTATTCAACATCAACAATGGAACATCACCACTTCAATCAAACCGTCACCATCCTCCAGCAGGTAAGTTTTGGCAATATGTGGCCTCTCTAACCCCCGCTCTTCAAGGAGGGGCACAACATTTTCAGCAAGCTATCCAGTGCTGAATACAAGCAGGTGCTCAGTCTGATCAAGCACTGCATTCTCGCAACGGATTTGGCGCTGTTCTTCCCCAACAGGACGAAGCTAGCCAAACTGGTCCACGATGACGCGTTCTCCTGGAGCAACCACGAGCACCGGATGATGGTGCAGGCGCTTTCGATGACCGCTAGCGACCTGTGCGCGAGCACGAAACCGTGGGACGTCCAGCTCAAAATCGTCCACGTCATCTTCGAGGAGTTCTACGATCAGGGCGACGCCGAACGCGCCGCCGGCCGCAAGCCCATACCGATGATGGACCGCTTCCAACCCGACTATCAGCCCGCCTCCCAGGTCGGCTTCCTCAGCGGAATCTGCGCGCCCTGCTACGCCCTGCTGAAGAACCTCATTCCCGATACCGAACCGCTCCTCGCCATGGTCCACAAGAACCTGGACGAATGGACGAGCATCGACCAAGAGATCCAGCAAAAGAAGAAAAACGAGGCTTAACTTTTTGTCGCTCTCTCGACAACGACCAATTTTTACAAGTGACTTTATCTCGAAGATGCCTTCTTGTAGCATTCATATCCCCTTTTTTTGAGCGGAAAGCACCAACTGAGAGCCCAAATAGTTCTTTGTATTGAGCAGTTTCTAGTCAAGTGGCTATTCAGATAGACTTAACCTTTCTATTTTCATACGTCTAGGTAGACTTAAGATGAGCGGAAACAGACGATGGTGTATGAAAATTTATTAGAAATAAAAGTTTCTGTTGCACGTTGATGATGTTTTATTTTTCTAGAAATTGATTTTGTACGTTCTAGGGTTAAGATCTCAACACTTGAGACATGGTAGACAGGTAGATTTCTTCTACTTCTTCACGTTCTCCATCACATTTTCTTTACTTTCCTTCTTCTCTCCTAACTACTAACATACCGATTTAAATAGGCTGCAAGGAAGCCGTCCAGAGCCAATCCAAGATAATGGATATTCCCCTTTACAGACATCTCCTTGGAGAAAAACTTAGAGAGTGCCCCATCGGAGGTCTTCTTTTAGAACTATTACAATTATTTCAACGCTTTATTACAGATAAAATTTTTGCCAAATCTGGATCAAGAGAATATAATACACGAGGAGGTGTTCCTAATACACGTGGCATTTGTTGGCAAACTTTTGTACAATTTTTCTGGTTACCAGGAGAACATGATGGACGAAGAGGTGCTTTTTTTTGCCAATTCTGTATCAGGAGAATATAATACACGAGGAGGTCTTTCTGTACCTAATACACGTGGCATTTGTCGGCAAACTATTGTACAATTTTTCTGGCTACCAGGAGAACAAGAAGAAGTCTTTTTCTAGAACTATGAGAATTATTTCAACGCTTTATCACAGATAAAATTTTTGCTAATCCCTATAAGTATCGCTTTATTTCGGAGAATATAAATACACCTTCGGCATTTGTTGGCAAACTGTTGTATAAATTTTTGGTATCAGCAGAACATGATGGACGAAGAGGAGTTTGTTCTACCAGTATGAAAATTATTTCAGCGCTTTATTACGGATTAAATTTTTGCCAAAGTCTGTATCAGGAGAATATAATACACGAGGAGGTCTTTCTGTTCCTAATACATTTGGCATTTGTTGGCAAACTGTTGTACAAATTTTTTGGCTACCAGGAGAACACGATGGACGAAGAGGTGTTTCTCTACCAGTATGAAAATTATTTCAGTGCTTTATTTCGGATTAAATTTTTGCCAAGTCTATTTCAGGAGAATATAATACACGAGGAGGTCTTTCTGTTCCTAATACACGTAGCATTTGTTAGCAAACAATTTTTCTGGCTACCAGGAGAACTTGATGAACGAAGAAGTCGTTTTCTAGAACTACGAGAATTATTTCAACGCTTTATTCCGGATTAAATTTTTGCCAAGTCGGTATCAGGAGAATATAATACACGAGGAGGTATTTCTGTACCTAATACACGTGGCAGTTGTCGGCAAACTATTGTACAATTTTTCTGACTACCAGGAGAACATGATGAACGAAGAAGTCTTTTTCTAGAACTATGAGAATTATTTCAACGCTTTATCACAGATAAAATTTTTGCCAATCCTGTATCAGGAGAATATAATACACCTTCGGCATTTGTTAGAAAACTCTTGCATAATTTTTCTGGTTACCAGGAGAACATGATGGACGAAGAGGAGTTTTTCTACCAGTATGAAAATTATTTCAGCGCTTTATTACGGATCAAATTTTTGCAAAGTCTGTATCAGGAGAATATAATACACGAGGAGGTATTTCTGTTCCTAATACATGTGGCATTTGTTGGCAAACTGAACGAAGAAGTCGTTTTCTAGAACTATAAGAATTATTTGAACGCTTTATTTCGGATTAAATTTTTGCTAATTCTGTACCAGGAGAATATAATACACGAAGAGGTTTTTCTGAGCCTAATACACTTTGCATTTGTTGGCAAACTGTTGTAAAAAATTTTTGGCTATCAGGAGAACATGATGGACGAAGAGGTGTTTGTTTCTCTACCAGTATGAAAATGATTTCAGTGCTTTATTTCGGATTAAATGTTTGCCAATTCTGTATCAGGAGAATATAATACACAAGGAGGTCTTTCTGAGCCTAATACATTTGGCATTTGTTGGCAAACTGTTGTACAAATTTTTTGGCTACCAGGAGAACACGATGGACGAAGAGGTGTTTCTCTACCAGTATGAAAATTATTTCAGTGCTTTATTTCGGATTAAATTTTTGCCAAGTCTATTTCAGGAGAATATAATACACGAGGAGGTCTTTCTGTTCCTAATACACGTAGCATTTGTTAGCAAACAATTTTTCTGGCTACCAGGAGAACTTGATGAACGAAGAAGTCGTTTTCTAGAACTACGAGAATTATTTCAACGCTTTATTCCGGATTAAATTTTTGCCAAGTCGGTATCAGGAGAATATAATACACGAGGAGGTATTTCTGTTCCTAATACACGTGGCATTTGTTGTTCTGGCTAACAGGAGAACATGATGAACGAAGAGGTCTTTTTTTGATACTATGATAATTATTTCATCGCTATATTTCGGATTAAATTTTTACCAATTCAGTATCAGGAGAATATAATACACGAGAAGGTCTTTCAAGTACTCTGCGTTCTCCCCGTTCCGGTTAAGAATTGTGTTAGTTGGTAATGTACCTCTCCGTGCTTTCTCTGGTGCCATTTTTGGACGTCGGGAATCTATCTACTTGTCCAGGACTTTCTACGACCCCATTCATTCTGCCAGTTGCCTACTTTTGCCCAGGAATTCTGCACCTCCAAGCGTCGTTCAACCGCCACCAGGTCGTGTGGTTCCCACACACATGGCAGCATTGAGGAGCCTAGGAAAGCAGTATTTTCCTGCACTACCTTTAGGTGTGTAGCCTCCCACGGAGTTTGCCAACCACCTCCTTCAACCACTAAAGGGAATGAATGCCTCGCACGAGGTCATTCAGGGTTTGGTTATTAGTGAGGTTGGGTTAGAGTATCAGGAGAACATGATGCTAGAGGAGGTTATCAAGTTAAAATAAGTGCTCGTTAGGTTAGGTGAGAAATCTTGTATCAGGAGAACATAATGTGCGAGGAGATTGAAGGTTATGAACGTGGCTATTAATCGCATAAATTCAAATGAGATTTGGAAAGAAGTACAGTGACTTTATAGTCACTGTAGTTTCCATATGTAACTCCTTTATGCAAAAAGGGGCTCGTTTTGATCACAATTTTGTTACATTTCGGCAGTGTGTAGCAGTAGTCATGTAACACTTATCTCATTACGATGTCCTTCATGTACTTAATTGGGGATAATCAAGCAAATCCCGAAATTTCAATATAGGTGCGCTATATTGGTGTAGCCTGGTTTGTAGGCAACACATCATGCTCAATGAACAGAAAACGTACATTTGTTTTTGCAATTCGTAACTTCTTATGCATGGGAGTTTATTTAAAGCACTTGGAAGAACAATTTCAATACAGGTACATTAAGGGGGCTAGGGATAGAGGATAGGCAACACACATTGGTCACTGAAATTTGCAATAAAAGTCGAAACTTTTGAGTAATTTTGTAAGCCCAAATATTAATTCTAACTAGAGGTCTTATCGGGAATTGATAGAGATAATAGATGATAGAGAAATGTAGCGATTTATTTTTTTGATAAAATTATTTAAGTCGTGTATAAATGATAATCTTGAATTTACTAAGAACGCGAATACTAGCCTTAGTAAAAAAATATTTAAAAAGTAAATCAAAAAACAATTTAATAATATCGATTACATAAAAATTATGTACAATTTGGACGATGTATTATAGATAAACATAACGAAGTGTTTGTTGTCGGCACCTTCTTGAATCTAGCAGCTCTGTTAAAAAACTGTTCATACAAAAATTGATAATCTTGTGTCTTACATACTTTAGGTGACAAATCTCAAAGAAAATTTCAATCAGCAATCTTGTCGACCAATGAAATGCGGATTTCGATTTATCGGCAATTTTTTGACGTAAAAAGCACAGAAAAAGGTAAAAATGTTTTGACATAAAAGGTCACTTTTTCTTTGAGGGTCACTATGGTGTGAAATTTTCTTGCTTCGTGCTTGAATAGCAATTTTTTCTTGCTCACGAATATTTTGCTAAAGTTCAAATATTTGTGAGCTCGAAAAGTTTTCGGAAATAGCAAGCACTAGTGATAATTTTTTATTTCAGCATGTCGTTAGTAAAAAATTGTCAAAGTCCTCGTGTGAGGTCTTGTCGAAGCTACCACATTCCCTTCGTCGGTACTCGCGTCCGACGTCCCGTGCATCCCCAATTTGCGTTTCAAGTTTTACTCCACCATCAGTAAGATCATGGCGGGGGTCACCACATTCCCTTTCTCGGTAGGTACCCACTTCCGACGTCTCGTTCACCCGCAATTCGAGTTTGAAGTTTTTACTCCACCATCAGTTTTCAGATTGTTTTCAAAATGGTGCCGTTGGAAAGATCTTGTAAACGGACACAACAACTGCGTGGCGTGTTTTTTTCCTGGGTACGAAATTAACCTCATTTTACAAGGCGCACGTCTGCGAGGTGTAGTTGACTTAGGGCGCCCAAAAGGTATCTGCCTCTGCGAATTTTGTTGCTGAAAGCTCGAAGCGCGATCTCTCTTTCTCGTGTGGCTAGTAGAGCTATGAGAAGTGCCCCAAAAATTGAGAACTATTTTGTGGAGAGTTTTTAGCAAAATTCATCTAAATGCGAATTGTGGCTGAACGGGACGTCGGAAGCGGATACCGACAAAGGGAATGTGGTAGCTTGCGACAAGATCTTCTTGATAGTGGCTAATACAATACTGATCTGCCACACAAAAATGCGCTGATCTTCCTTCGATCTCACATGAGGACTTTGATAATTTTTCATCTACCTGTGCTTTCGATAATTCCACTGTAGGTTTGACGGCTAGCCAAGTAAACTATTTTCGTAAAGCAGACGAAGGTCGTGTTGGTATTAGAAAATTTCCAAAAATCTATTAAAACATTTTTTGTAATAAAAAATGAGTCATTTATTTTGTTGTAAATTAGATCAGAATTCAGATGTATAATTTGATAAATGGGGGAAGGTTGAAAACGCAGCAAATACCGGACTACATTGCGGAAGCCATGCGAAATATCTAAAACTGTCCATTGAAGAAAAGTACCATTCTTACATCCGCGCATCTGTGAAAATCGTTATCATATAAATTTAGAAATCTATGAGGCCGTAGTTTGATCGGATGTC